CAAGGAGCCTTGATTTCCCAAAATTTGTTCTCATCCAGGGTGGACTGCCGTTTCTACCTAGCATAGGCCTTATCAACACCTCTAGCGGGAGTCGATTCGTGACAGTGCAGCATGTGAGCTTGACAAGTTAACCACTTGGCCACATTGCCACGAGTAAATCTCATATAACTGATTTACTGGTAGTATGATACTCTACTTATATACGAGAATTAAGTAATGTAGTCGATTGTAATGGCGAAAATACTACCACCAAAGAATATGATATGGGAAAAGTCCTGGTCTCCCTTGAAATTCACATCTGCCCTGTGACCCAAGGCCACTCGTGGCAATGTGGCCGAGTGGTTAATGTATCAAGATCACATGCTGCACTGTCAGGGTTCGAATCCCCCTAGGGGTGTTGATAAGACCGATGCGAGGTCGAAACTGCAGACCACCCTGGAGGAGAACAACTTTTGGGAAAGCAAGGCTTGTGAAATTCAATGGAAACGTCAAATCTACCCATATAATTGTGGAAAAATTATACTACCAGACCTACATCACCTGACTGGTAGTCTTGAAAAGCTACTTAAATACGAAAATAAGTTACAGAAGCCGGATATTTTAAGCATTTCCTGGTATTATGTAAAATGTAATCATGTTAGGTCCTTATCTGTTCATACTTTCCATAATATTTTCATGTAAGTAAGCCTACTCATTGCTTTATAAGAGCTCTCTCTGTTATTCAATAACTGGCTATTTATGAATACTCGTTACGAATTCAGAATAATCATGAAAGATATCCTATAGTGAATATATATTTCGATATCACAAAGAGGATATGTACTCTTTGATCTCTGGAATAACTTAAAGGAGAAGGTTTGATGGCGATACTACTTAGGAGAGCTATCAAAATTGAAAAAATTACTTTCTTCAAACCTAGCCTTGTTGTTCTCGCAAGCATCACCAATATTACAAATGCCAAGGCCAGAAGCACTGGGGGCCATTGTGATATCACCAGCTTTAGAAGAGAACCTTAGCCCCTTATTTAATACTTATAGCATCAAAAGTGATGGGGCATAATAAGTTGTAGGTTGATGGCGTATTTTTAATCAACAAGACATTGCAACTTTCAACAATCTTGCAATCCAAGCATGAATTCATCATATTTATACATCTAGTAGTGAAAATCTTCCCTCTCTCCAAATATTAACTTTCACCTGGCAATCAAAAGACTGTTAAGTTTTGGTCGGGGCACTTACGCGCACTCCTTTTCAACCCGTTCCAGGCGCAGTTGTAATGCCTTGATGGTCTCTGACATATGCTCATTTCTATGAATCTCTTGGTCTAGACGCTGACCAACCTCAGCAGATTCTAAAAGTGCTTCTTCAAGCTGCTGCTTTTGTGCATCTGCAAGTTCACCGCGTAAGTCACCGAGAGTTGAGCGCGCGGCATCAAGATCACTGCGGAGCTCGACAATGATTGAGTCACGTTGACCAATCTCCTCTTTAAGCTGAGCAACTCGTCGTCTGCTCAAGTTGTAAATAATAAGTAGGAAATAAATCTCCATGTTGTGGAATAAATGTAATTATACGTATGGAAAAAAATTACCGATCCAGAAATACTGAAGCGAAGGATAATTTTCTAGAGAAATATATACAAGCAAAAAATAGTTGTTGAGCTCACTTTTGTTTTGGGTGAATGTGTTTTGTGAAGAGAAACGAAGTTCGATCCCCCCAGAAGAGGACAGCGGATTCCTTTGGCCAGCTGTCGAATGGCTTTATTGGGACATTCTTGCTGTTTTTGAGGTAATCTCCTTTGATTCAAGTGAAAATGTGCAAAGTTTACGTCCCTCGTATAATTGACATCATCGGAGCAAGGTATCCTCCTTATAAACATATTAAATTTTTGATATTTAAGTAGAGCTTCAAGACTACCAGTAAATCTGTAATATGAGATGCATTCACCCAATTTCGTTTAAGTTGATGAAGGACTGGTAGAGGAATTTTCCCACAATGATATGAATAGAGCTGACGTTTCCATTGAATTTCACACAACCTTGCTTTCCCAAAAGTTGTTCTCATATTTAAGCTAAATAGTCAAGGAGGCTCACCGGCCTATCCCTAAATGCTGTATATATGCCCTATATATAATCTTTTTTATCAGATATTAAGCGAGTTAGCTATTTCTAGATATTAGTAAACCTTGACTTATGTGAGTATTATGTGTCTTCTTGCGTTTGTATGTGTACGAAATCAGCAGTGATATCTAAAAATAATTAGAACAGGACTTCTGATGACCACCCCCACCCTTTTTTTCTTTATATTTTAACCATCATTCCGTTTGCTCAAAATCGGAAATATGTCTGCTGAAGTGCCAGAAAAAAGTGGACTAAAGTGTATAGGCAAGTGACAACAAGTAGAACAAGGAAAGTAAATACTAGTTGAGCCTCCTCTTTTTTTCAGGCGATCCAAAAACTTATCTATCCTTGATTGTATTTATTAAGCATAAGTAGTTCTTAACCGACCTCCTACTGGTATTACTTATATTCAATGTATTGCCTAGTCGGTTGAGTTCGAAGGTCTCTCTAATTTTGGGCTTAGCTGCAGACATATCATAATCAACAAAACGAGAATTTTAAGACCACTCAATTTCATGTCTAGTTCCTGCCGTATGCTCAGCAAGCTCTGATTTCTGAACCCAACATCTTCTGCCAGAGCTTTGTGCTCAGTAACCCTTTATCGAATGTGACGAAAAGTCTCTCCAACATTATTTTATTGTAATCTGATCTGGGTAATGGGCCAAATTTTTCTCTAAAGGTAGGCATAACTGAAGAAAGTGTCAGATTCCTTGAAAATCGTTTGGATTTTCAATTTCCTTATTAGTTCGCCTATCATTTTTGAGAGAATACATGAAGGCGAAGACAAAGTATTGAAAAAGGTATATCCAAAGCATTTAGGGATAGGCCGGTGAGTTTTCTTGACTCTTCAGCTTAAATATGGTTGTAAGAATGATGTCCTGCTCTGATGATGCTCGTCATATGAAGGACGAAAGCTTAGCACACTTTCACCCGAATCGACGGAGATTGCCTCGGAAACAGCATCAAATATAATGTTCCAATAGAGCTGGTCAAGAAGGATTCGCCGTCTTCTGGTGGGATCGACCTTCGTAGCTTTTCATAAAATTGCTTCACTTGAAATGGAAGTTAGCTCAACAATTGTGTGAAATTAATTTTTCGTCGCATAAAATAAATGTAGCAGGTAACATAATACGGAGGACCGTAAGAGACTTAAGGAAAAATAGGCCTAAAAATTAAACAAAACTGACAAATGAAGGAAGGCGAATTTGGGAAATAGTTCGACCGCACTATTGGAAATTGAAGGAAGGGAAGCCACAATTTGATATACTTGCTTTGCTATTTAACTTTACCCACTCATTTTGCAAATTACTATCGAATATCTATGTTACACTAACTAGTTCTTATAATTCTGCCGCCACTTAGTATGTACAGGGCTGGTAGCAATTAATTCTAAACTATAGGCTAGTTATGTACAAAACTAATATCTAATGAAGAGCAGCAGCGAAGACCTTTTAAATTTAATAAGTTAGCGGTATAATTGTCTCTGATAATCTATACTTTAAGAAACTTAAGGTTGCTAAGTGTTGACTTATTAATTTTTAATATGAGATGTATTCACCCAATTTCGTTTAAGGTTATAAGGACTGGTAGTAGAATTTTCCCACAATGATATGAGTAGAGCTGACGTTTCCATTGAATTTCACATAGCCTTACTTTACCAAAAGTTGTTCTTATCCAGGGTGAACTGTAGTATCGACCTTGCATATGTCTTATCAACACCCCCAGCGGGAGTCGAACCGGGACAATGCAGCATGTGAGCTTGTCAAGTTAGCTACTCGGCCACATTGCCACGTGTGTCCTTTGATCACAGGGCAGATGTGAATCTCAAGTAAGGCCAGGCCTTTTTACATGTTACATTCTTTGGTGGGATTGTCGATGAAGCAAACGTATGTTTGCCATAGCGATCGACTACGTTACTTATTTTTCGTATGTTAGTAGAGTAAGTAGAGACTAGCAGTGTCAAGCTCACATTTTGCACCTTAATGGTTCGACTCCCGCTGGGGGTGTTGATAAGACCAATGCGAGGTCGAAGCTGCAGTCCACCCTGGATATGAACAACATTCGGGAAGGCAAGGCTATGTGAAATTCAATGGAAACGTCAGCTTTACTCATATAATTGTT